TCGAGTCTGGGCCAGGCAAGCTCGTGATTGGTATCGTGAGCATCTATCCACGATGACATTGTGATACGATGATATGCATCCACCCAATCAGCGAGCCTCATCAGCCACCTCTTGCCACTAGCATGGGCTGCTGACGACAGATCTTCACGGTTTCCAAGGGTACAGATCTTCACGCTTTCCAAGGGTCAGTAGGTAGAAATGCGTTATCATAATTTACGTCATAGGTCGCAACAAATACATTCAGGCGACTGTTGACAAAGTTAGCAGCTACGACACACATTTATGATATATACGGTGACACACAGTCAGGGCCACGATGCCATACAATCATGGTTACGATGACACACAATCAGGGCCACGATGACACACAATCAGGTCCACGATGACACACAGTCAGGGCCACGATGACACACAATCAGGGCCACGATGACACACAATCAGGGAGACGATGACACACAGTCAGGGCCACGATGACACACAATCAGGGAGACGATGACACACAGTCAGGGCCACGATGCCATACAATCAGGTCCACGATGACACACAATCAGGGAGACGATGACACACAGTCAGGGCCACGATGCCATACAATCAGGTCCACGATGACACACAATCAGGGAGACGATGACACACAGTCAGGGCCACGATGCCATACAATCAGGTCCACGATGACACACAATCAGGGAGACGATGACACACAGTCAGGGCCACGATGACACACAATCAGGGAGACGATGACATACAATCAGGTCCACGATGACACACAATCAGGGAGACGATGACATACAATCAGGGAGACGATGACACACAGTCAGGGCCACGATGACACACAATCAGGGAGACGATGACATACAATCAGGTCCACGATGACACACAATCAGGGAGACGATGACATACAATCAGGGCCACGATGACATACAATCAGGGAGACGATGACACACAGTCAGGGAGACGATGACACACAATCAGGGAGACGATGACATACAATCAGGTCCACGATGACATACAATCAGGGAGACGATGACACACAGTCAGGGCCACGATGACACACAATCAGGGAGACGATGACATACAATCAGGTCCACGATGACACACAATCAGGGAGACGATGACACACTATCATAGCCATAATGACACACAGTCAGGGCCACGATGACACACAATCAGGGAGACGATGACATACAATCAGGTCCACGATGACACACAATCAGGGAGACGATGACATACAATCAGGGCCACGATGACACACAATCAGGGAGACGATGACATACAATCAGGGCCACGATGACATACAATCAGAGGAGACGATGACACACAGTCAGGGAGACGATGACACACAATCAGGGAGACGATGACATACAATCAGGGCCACGATGACATACAATCAGGGAGACGATGACACACAATCAGGGCCACGATGACACACAATCAGGGAGACGATGACACACAATCATGGCTACGATGACACACAATCAGGGCGACGACGACACACAATCATGGCTACGATGACACACAATCAGGGCCACGATGACACACAATCAGGGCCACGATGACACACAATCAGGGAGACGATGACACACTATCATGGCTACGATGACACACAATCAGGGCTACGATAACACACAGTCAGGGCGACAATGACACACAATCAGGGCCACGACGACACACAATCAGGGCCACGATGACACTAAATCAGGGCGAAGATGACATACAATCAGGGCGACGATGACACACAATCAGTGCGACGATGACACACAATCAGTGCGACGATGACACACAATCAGGGCCACAATGACACACAATCAGGCCACGATGACACACAATCATAGCCACGATGACACAAAATTAGGGCCACGATGACACACAATCAGGGCCACGATGACACACAGTCAGGGCCACGATAACACACAATCAGGGCCACGATGACACACAATCATAGCCATAATGACACACAAACAGGGCCACGATGACACACAATCATAGCCATAATGACACACATTCATGGCTACGATGACACACAATCAGGGCCACGATGACACACAATCAGGGCCACGATGAAACACAATCAGGGCCACGATGACACACTATCATAGCCATAATGACACACAAACAGGGCTACGATGACACACTATCATGGCTACGATGACACACAAATCAGGGCTACGATAACACACAATCAGGGCTACGATAACACACAGTCAGGGCCACGACGACACACTATCATAGCCATATAATGACACACAAACAGGGCTACGATGACACACTATCAAGGCTACGATGACACACAATCAGGGCTACGATAACACACAATCAGGGATATGATGACACACAATCAGGGCGAAGATGACACACCATCATGGTAACGATGGCACACAATCAGGGCGACGATGACACACAATCAGGGCCACGAAGACACACAATCAGGGCCACGATGACACACAATCAGGGCGACGATGACACACTATCATGGCTATGATGTTGTTGATCACTGGATTGTCAGGTCCAGACTCGATTATTTACACACCGCCGCCATGTAATTGGACTATACTGGAGTGCAGCGTTTAACAACAAACAAAAAACTTCTTGTCATGCATAAACAAATTATTCAGCATTGCCTTGCCCCCTATCTACTTTTGCGGGCAAAATAGGATGTGCACTAGTGTTTGATGGTGTCTAAAATGAGTGTGTGAGTTCGGTTTTACGCCGCATCTAGCAATATTCCAGGAATATCATGACAGGGGACACCAGAAATGGGCTTCACACATTGTACCCATGTGGGGAATCGAACCTGGGTCTTTGGCGTGACGAGCGAACGCTTTAACCACTAGGCTACCCCACCACCACTTGTCCAAAACAGACACGAAATAGTTATTCGATGGAGATGTATTTGAAACATGTTTCATAGTGTGTTTTAGGCCTTAAGTCTGTAGAGTTCGACCGTTTTCAGGTAATAGTAATGTTTTGATAACATTTATTATTAATTTAATGGTAACATCCAATTTCCAAGTTTATAGCTTCTTTTGCCCGGAGGTTAACATATCGTTTAGAAATCGGGAATGTTAAAACGTCTGATATCCATTAAATTTCACGTGACCTTTACCACAGTATATAGCCCGTAGGTCAAACGAACAATAAAGTTCCTTTGACATTTGACGGGATTGTAAATATAATTTAATAAACGTGTTGATGTCATTAAGCTTGTTTTAAGAGCGTTTAAAGGTACAGCTAACATTAAATATACAAAATGTGTTGTGTGTTTCCTTTGCCTGTGGGGGCGGTATGGTAGCCTAGTGGTTAAAGCGTTCGCTCGTCACGCCGAAGACCTAGGTTCGATTCCCCAAATGGGTACAATATGTGAAGCCCATTTCTGGTGTCCACCCCACTGATATTGCTGGGCCACCCCACGTTTCCTGTAGGCATCAAAATTACCTCACAAACATATTGAAGTCGAGGGTACAATATTTCTACGTTTACAAAGAACACGCTCAAAACGAGTGGACGTATGTAGCTATTTTCCGGTCCTGGCCACTCACTGTGTAATCAGTCGAAATGTGTATAACGAATAACGGTTATAACGAATTAAAATTGTGGTCCCTTAGAGTTCGTTATAGCTGTTGTTGAAGAAATTTAAATATATTGTCACATAATTTCGATGTGGTGTGTTACCACTTGAAACTGAAAAGGACAGCGCTGCAAATAAACTGGTTGAAGAAAGCGTATGTAAACTTTTCAAATCAAACCAGATGGAGAATGAGTGCCACGTTTTGTTAATGTATAACGAGTGTTAAGGATATATTTAGAGGAATCCATTACCGATAAACGTTTGGGAGGACACAATGACAAGTTCGATATTCTAATGTACAATGCTGAGAGGTAACGCTTACCTCTTTAAGGACTGACTGACTGAGTTTGGTTTTACGCCGCTTTTAGCAATATTCCAGCAACATCACGGCGGAGAACACCAGAAATGGGCTTCACACATTGTACCCATGTGGGGATTCGAACCCGGGTCTTCGGCGTGACGAGGCTAACCACTAGGCTACCCCACCGCCCCTACCTCTTTAGTATATATATATAAGGGTTTCATGAATTGTGGTGTAGCCAAGCGGTTAAAGCGTTCGATCGTCACGCCGAATGCCCGGGTTTGATTCCCCACATGGACAGAATGCGTGAAGCCCATTTCTGGTGTCCCCCGCCGTGATATTACTGAAATAATGTTAAAAGCGGTGTAAAACCCTACTCACTCGGATGTACACTTCATTTTCACCCGTTTTCAATGGTCATTTAGTAAACGTTCTGGGCCCCGTTTCACAAAGCTCTCGTAAGCCTGAGATCTCGTATGATTGCTCGTAGCATTCGTACCTCCCACTATGTTACAGTATAGGATCGAGGTACGAATGCTACGAGAATAGTTACGAGATCTTAGGCTTACGAGAGCTTTGTGAAACAGGGCCCATGACAAAATATTGCTGAGTGTGGCGTATACTAAACTCACTCACTCAGGACAAAAGGGAGGTGAGGGTGGGGGTGCGCACCTCTGCACCCCACTCTGGATCCGCCTATGATACCTATCATAGTGGCTCTTCTCTGACTTCAGAAGGGGCGGTGGGGTAGCCTAGTGGTTAAAGCGTTGGCTCGTCACGCTGAAGACCCGGGTTAGATTCCCCACATGGGTACAATGTGTGAAGCCCATTTCTGGTGTGCCCCGCCGTGATGTTGCTGGAATATTGCTAAAAGCGGCGTAAAACCATAATCAGTCAGTCAGTCTGACTTCAGAAAACCATCATTAATACGACTGACACACAACAACCCTGGTGTTTAAATATTCAAAACAATATTAATGCAATCGGGGAAAAGACAATCTAATCACATTTTTACAAACGTGAAACGACGTAGAGTTTCCAATCGATTGCTGCGTACCGCAAGAATGCTTGTGGCAAACGCGGTTATCAAAACTGCTTTGTACCATATCATACTAATCCAACCGTGAAGCTCGTCAGATTCCCTGCCCACGGGAAGCGGTTTAGTGATATTTATTGATGATGCTACAGACCGACGCGTTGCTTTAGCGAGTCCATGCAACTTGACATTCTACTGTACTGATGTCACATGGAGCTGTCCATTGTCAACGACGTGGCCCGTAGTCAAGGAATACAACCCAGGAACAGATCGAAGAAAGACGATTCTCTTCAGCGGTTCGTTAGCATCTGAACGGAAAGAGTGTTCATGGTCACGTGAGTTTACTGACACGTGCGGCACGGTTCCACCATCTTTATATGGTATGAAGTGAGTGTTGGTAATGGACATCGCTCCGAGATTTTGTATGAAGCCATGGTTCTAGATGCAGCATCCGAATGATCTAAGGATATACAACTGATATGTGAGTGTTGGATATCTGTGTGATAAATCACATGTTTTCTCACAAGCGATTTGTTATAATGTCAATACAGTTAATTAACTAAATAGGCATAGATCAATAGTAAAGTGAAGCACGATTTGTAATGGAATGTGAAATGCGTTTGGCGCATGTGTATGAGTGTGTTTGTACGTGCGTTGCGTGCGTGCGTGGTTACTGCCACCGCCACCACCACCACCACTACTACTACTACTACTACTACCACCACTACTACCACTACTACTACTACTACTGCTACTAACTGTATTTTCTCATTTATCTCTACAATTTATGTAGTTGATATGTGCAAGTGTGAAATATCTGTTAAACTAAGTTCGGCCTAACTGCAGTCTCAGTGGTAGAGACATAGGAAACGTAGAAAAAGGGACTTTACTGAGGAGAGATTAGTGCAGAACGATTTATTTGGAACAGACCATGACTTTATGCAAATTAGTGTGCGACGATATTGTATTACAAAGGACACTTTTTAAATGCCCATTTTGAAATTAGACTTAGTTTCATTATAAACGCGAGCTGGGGTGAAAAATAATAACTTCCAATGTTGAAACTATTAAGGATGTAGCTACCATGTAGTCTCCCTCTCACTACGAAAAGAAACAGATAGGAAGGTTCGTCTCAAAAGCAAAACGGGTGTCGCAGACGATCTTTGGGGTCGGGCTGGGGGATAGAGATATCAGCTAAGATAAGATAATCCTTCAGGGCAATTATACTGGGGAAGTACACGTCATAACAATTTACAAGTAATATCCGGTCCTGTCAACCTACGCGATCGGGTGGTCATACCACCTATATATTTTGAGACATTTAATACGATGCGTTTCTATGGTTCTCAGGTATCATACTCTTTTACATATCTCAACATAAACTATATGAAAGAAAGACACGTGAGATGTTAATCAATAGATGAGACATAGTCAACACACATGAAAAAGCACAAAATATTTTTGAGATGACCCCTTAATGCTTGTGCCTGTAGGCAGCACGTGCATTTCATGCCAGGTGAGTCGACGGTCCGTCGTCATACCTGTCTGAGCGACCTAATTGCCATCTATAGTCTGATCTATTGTTTTCAGCAGCTATTCGTATTTTATCTAAGTTTTTCCCGATTTTACGAGTAAACATGCTTTTCTGGATATCTTATTACGCATCCCACTGAATGCCAAGTTAGGCCGTAGTTGGTTATTTCGACATATACTATTTGCAGTTGTGGGATTTTAGGGATACAGAGTAACAGCCTAAAAACAGTTTTTTTCTATTTCCGACAGTACTTTAGTACAACTAACGCCACCACCACCTCCACCACCACCACTACTTCTACGGCGGTTGGGTAGGATAGTGGTTAAAGCGTTCGCTCGTCACGGCGAAGACCTGGGTTCGATTCCCCACATCGGTACAATTTGTGAAACCAATTTCTGGTATCCCCCGCAGTGATATTGCTGGAATATTGCGTCGTAAAACTAAATTCACTCACTCACTTCCAGTTGTGTGACACGTGTGATGTACAGCGTGTATATCCATTAATCCCAGGGGCGTAGGGACAGGAGGGGCTTGGGGGGCTTTTTTCAAGACGAAACCATATCTACCTTACGCCCCTGTAATCTATCTGTATGTTTATTAATCCATCTTCTGACCACGTACCTGCATATTCATTTCCGTTTGGAGAAATCGTAATATCCACGTTCAGGGCCAAATGCAATTTCCTTCAAGCCCATATCGAACAGACAATGAACCTCACAACGTGTAGTATATTGATCTATATCTTACAAGCAGCGTTGTTCTACTAAACACAGCAGGGGGCTTATTGTAATGTTGACAAGCCCTTACCGAGGATTGTCTAATAACAATCCAGCTGGTACGACGTAAAGATCAAGGATTTTTGACAAGCTGACACGGAGGTACTCGAGGAAAGTCTTAAATATACATCTGAGGCAAAGATCAAATTTAGTGATCCTTTACTTGAAACAAGATCACAAGATCGGGATTTTTTTAAATTAAAGAAATCACCAGACCCACTGGAGACTACATACATCGCTTGTAGCCTATAAGGTAAGAATATCACATCTACATCTACGCATCTTGTAGAATGTGAATCTGCATTTTTTTCATCTGTCTCGGAGACTTGAGACGGTGGGGTAGCCTAGTGGTTAAAGCGTTCGCTCGTCACGCCGAAGACCCGGGTTCCATTCTCCACATGGGTACAATGTGTGAAGCCCATTTTTGGTGTCTCCTCCGTGATATTGCTGGAATATTGCTAAAAGCGGCGTAAAACTAAACTCACTCACTCACTATTATGTAGAATGTACACTGCCTGTCAAAGCGTAGTATACACCTGTGTTTGATTGTGGCAAAATGAATAGGACAAAAAAATGATTATTCAACGATGGGTTGTGTTTTGGACTTGTATTTCGGCGGATGTATTCAGCCTGGTGACGTTTTGTATAACGCTTGTAACGTTTTGTTCCAAACCATGTATGTATTATGGTCCAGTCATGTGTATTATCTTTTGCACATTAGTGTACTTCATTTGATGAAGGTTATGGATCCAAATACTGTATCTAAAATATTTATTTATTTACCTAAAAAAAGACAACTCACAAACTTAGGTATTTTCTCCAATATAGACTTCACATATATGTGCAGGCTAAATATAGGTCAATATTCTCTAATCGTCACAGTCCGTTTTAGTTATATTCCAACAATATACATCTTGGCTGGGGACACCAGAAACAGGGAATATGAGGATTCGATCCCAGACCTTCGATGTGCTTGTGCTAATAGTCATCTGTGTTGCCCTAAACGATTTCAGATTTCCAGAAAGTATTGTACAACATGTAATTCTTAACTCAAAGTTAAGAGCTATTGACTTTTTTAATCTTTATACCGACAATAGGTTAGCTGCTTTGATGAAAGCTTCGTGGCCAAGAACGCTACTGAGTACTGAGTGGCCTAGTGCTTGATGTAAATATGTTTATGAGCTTCTGTTGTGGTGACTGTGGAGCTGCCAATATTTTGATACATCTGATTGTTCAACAAGTGTTCAGTTCTAGGCCTGTCACAGAACAATACGTCAAAGCCAACTGTCAACAAAATTCATACAATTCTTATATTGATCAGGATGTAAATTCCGGCTCTGTCCATTCAAGGCTTATAAACATGCTAATCTATGTACATGTATCGACAAAATGGACATTGCATTGTTTAGGTGGTAGGTGACATGTGAGAGTGAGTGGTTTTACGTCGCTTATAGTAACATCAAAGAGCGACACTGTGTACCCTGGTTCTGGATACGTGCGGCATATATATAAATATATAAAGTCAGTTAAATTCTTTTTAAACAAATGTTATCACGCAACGGAAGTTGGTCATTATTGAATAATATACATTCAGTTCAGTGCGAGAGAGAGAGAGAGAGAGAGAGAGAGAGAGAGAGAGAGAGAGAGAGAGAGAGAGAGAGAGAGAGTAGATGAGAGAAGAGATGAGAGAGAGAGAGATAAGAGGGAATAGAGAGAAAGAGAGAGAGATAGAGAGAGAATAAGAGAGTAAGATCCAGCAACAGACGGCCGGGGAACACCAGAAATGGGGCCAACGCTTTAACCACTGAGCTACCCCACCAGAGAGAGAGAGAGAGAGAGAGAGAGAGAGAGAGAGAGAGAGTTGACAACCAACTTCCTTCTCTCTGTGTACATTCATATACCTCTGTACACAAATAATACAGTGTTACATCTCACCGTAAGTAAACCTCTAAATAATACGACCTTTCTAGACCGCATCAAATCTATACAATCCAGCCGGCCGACAATATGGGATCCATACAATATGCCTGCCGACAATATTTGCACACACTGCTGGCGGGCAAGGGCGTGTTACGACAACAGTGAACAGCCTCTCTAAGGCTTGTACGTTAATAATAGCGGCTGGGTTGTAACATTGCGCTCATATGATGTTAGGATGACTGTCAGCGACCATCACAAGATATATCTGTGACATTGGAATACTGGAGACTAAGGGCATATTCCATTATGCACAACGAATTGTAAAAGTGCGTTAGAGCTGTGAAATTGGACGTTGCATCAAGGTAAAACTGATGATTTTTTGTATGACCAGGTGTTTTTTTAAAAACATTTTCTTTTCTTACAGGTATATGCTGTACCATGGCGTTTGATAGCGTAGTCGGCATTACGTGTATTCTAAGCATGTACGATGGTGAATTATTATAGTACATACATGTATTTAAAAGAGGTTGGATATCGTGAGTAAATGAATTACTGAGTGAATGTTATGTAACGCCGCAGCATGAGGTGAGGTGAGGTGAAATTGGGTTTAACGTCGTGCTTGAGAATATTTCGCTCATATGACGACGTGCATGCGTGTGTATGTGTATGTGCGGCTGCTTGTACTAGCCCAGACTTAAGCTGGTTTTATAGTGCTAGCTCACTGAGATACCATGCCGCAGTGAAGCATGAATACCCCACTCAGACACATTATACTGACTCCGAGCCGACCAGTCCTTGTTGTACCCATTAATGCCGAGCGCCAGGCAGGGACCAACAAGTACCATATTTTAACGTCTTTTGGCATGACGCGGTCGGGGATCGAACCCGCGACCTTCCGTTCTCCGGGCGGACGCTCTAACCACTGCACCACGGAGGCGGTCGAATAACGAAAGAGGTTGAATATCGTGAGTAAATGAATTATTGATTGAATGTTATGTAACGCCGCAGCATGAACAACGGCCCACCTTGTGATGACGTGCCATCAGCCAGATCCCTATCGCAGGTATCCTGGGATATTCTTTGAGGACCATTATTCCTCAAAATCAAGAGTATTCCCAAATTACATCTTAGACTACCCATGAAGATACGGGTTAGAATTTGTCTTCACCAACCCATGCTTGTCGTAAGAGGTGCGACTAACGGGATCGGGTGGTCACTTTGTATCCAGGATGGATGGATGGACGGACGGACGGATGGATGGAAGTGTAAATGCATCTTTTTTTATACCGTTTTATAAAAAAAATTCATTTCACAGAATGTGGACTATGGGCACTTGGTCTGGGTTACTTCCCCTGGTTGTGACGTCAGCGTTGTTTGTGACAGTAGACGGCGCCACTAACTGGGGGGATCTGAGCCTCCCCTTGGAACATGTGCCCTACTTCTTCAGGAACAATCCTTACATGAAACAGCGTTGTAGGGATGAGGATAGCTGCCCTTATAAGGTGAGACACAAACAGCTTGGAGATTAAACCGTTGTGACGCCAAATGAGTGAGTGAATTTTACGCCGCTGTTAGCAATATTCCAGCAACATCACGGCGTTGGACACCAGAGGGCTTCACACATTGTACCCATGCGGGGAATCGAACCCGGGTCTTCGGCGAGACGAGCGAACGCTTTAACCACTAGGCTATCCTACCGCCCCTGTGACGCCAAATGAAACAGTGGGGTGTCCTGGGTTCGATTCCCCGCATGAGTACAATGTGTGAGACAAATTTCTGGTGTCCCCCGCCGTGATATTGTTGGAATATTGCTTAAAAGCAGCGAAAAACCATATTCACTCACTGTGACGCAAAAGTGTCTGTTCGATTCACAATTCTCTGCCGTAATATGAATGTAGTATCAAAAAGATGAAACTCGGATGCAACGTTTGGCGAAATTGGTTGCATCTAGCTGAATAAAAACCATTAGCAGAAAAGAGCAAAAACATGTTAAACATGTCCTAGCGAATGGTGTTCACGCGAGAAAATATTTTAATTTCTGTCAGAAAGGCTTAATGTCTTCAGTAGTCAAATTTCCCTGTCATGTCGAGCATTATTGCAACAGCTCCATGCTTGGGTGTTTACATTTCACAACTTTTGAGGTAAAATTGAACATGCTCGTTTTACCAGGATTCCAATGAGCGTCTTACTATTCTTGCTCAGAAGTTTGATCAAGGCTTCTGTAAAGCTTTCCAAAAACATTAATGGTAGTAGGTTCCGTATTTTGCCTTGACCATCCATTCCCGAGTTTTTTCAGGTAAACAATTGACTTGCCTTTACACGTGTTTATGACGGATGCCACCGGTGGGCAGGTCACCTTTTCGCGCACACCTGGCATAATCACTTCTTTTATATATACACAAAGAACTTAATTAAGCACGCCCTGTATATTTGCAATGATAGGTTTTCAACACGTACATAACACTTCTCGTGGTGACCACGATGGAACAACATCAGTTTTTATGACCCGTATGATCCTTTGACTCATAAAAAACGACAAAATGATTGGAATCCCTGTTGATTTTATGATGATAATTGCTCATATCTTTAAAAAGCACTGATTTTCATACAAAATCATGTCTGTACAAGTATGGCCCAAGAATGTTCAACGTTGCATTTATTATATTGTGAATGTGAACATTCAAAATATCATTTTGCGTGTCTTACACGATTCAAGGTCAATACCGAGTGTAACCTCCATGTGACTGTATGGCAGCCAGCACTCTCCTACTCATACCCCTGTCAGCCTCCTGATCCTCTTGAGACCCGTGAAGATCCGGGTTAGAATTGATCTTCAGTAACCCATGCTTGTCGTAAGAGGCGACTAACGGGATCGGGTGGTCAGGCACGCTGACTTGGTTGACACATGTCATCGGTTCCCAGTTGAGCAGATCGATACTCATGCTGTTGATCACTGGACTGTCTGGTCCAGACTCGATTATTTACAGACCGCGGCCATAAAGCTGTAATATTGTTGAGTGCGCTGTAAAACTAAACTCACTCACTCATCCTCTTGAAGGGACCGTCTACGCCATTCCTCGTGTAAAACAGCTTCCAATTGGGCCAGGTTCTGTACAGGAGGATCCCTTTGTTGCACATAACGACCAATCATGTTCCAGATATGCTCCAAAGGGTTAAGATCTGGGCTCATTCAATCGTGAGATTTGCCAGGGTTCTTTGTGTATAGATTCACAAACACATGATCATGACAATTTAGTCGGAATTAGTCGACTCTGCTTTAGAAGAGATTTCTTATGGATATTGAAGGGTTTGTTTCTTTACTTACAACGTATTGTGTGAATTAACAGTTTACATGCATCGAATATTGCTGAGTGCTGCGTAAAACTAACTCACTCACTCACATGCATCGCTAGTGCTTCAGGTGCATGTATGCCATAAGCTTCACCAGTATCAGTAGGGGTACATGTGGTTTTGAACGTCTAATATTCGCTTTTATACCACGAGCCAGCAGTCCGTGTGTATAGAGCCTGTTTTGAATTGACGATGTCATCTATTGCTCTGTCTGTTTTGACAGTCCTCCTTGGAGATTAGGAGATGCTGGGGATATGAAGACGGGTGCCCAGTCGGAGAGAGGATGAGTACGCCCCTGTGCACCGACGATGAGTCACAGAACCTAAGGTAAACTGAAAGGTATCCACGTTGGAAAGATTAATTGGCTTTGTATCACAAGTCAACTACGTGTTATTCGCAAGATCGCTCAATGATATTCGCAGTGCCATTGTTACAAAAAACCAGTATTGTAGTTATGTGGCGTGTTTCATGCGGTGCAATGCAGTGTACTGTTGTGAGTGAGTGAGTATGGTTTAACGCCGCTTTTAGCAATATTACAGCAATATCATGGCGGGGGACACCAGAAATGGGCTTCACACATTGTACTCATGTGGGGAATCGAACCTGGGTCTTCGGCGTGAGGAGCCAACGCTTAAACCACCAGGCTACCCCACTGCCCCGCACTGTTGTGTAGTCGTGTTATGGTTGCAGTGCGGTGCAACCCTGATTTTCATGCTATCCATAACACAACACTATAATGGGTCTCTGTGGTGCTTTGGAAACGGGTACACAATGTTGGAGACTTGTTCTCACAATCCAAACGCTTTTCAAAATATTTACGTTGCGTTTTTATTTCTTTAAATAATCGGAAATGTATGCGTGTATACTTTCTTTTACATGTCCGGCCAAATAAAAAAGTTGTGGATCCGATTACACCTCTTTAAAATTTAGGGTGGGTAGGTTGGATTTTTTCATAATTTTTCAGGAGTAACGTACAAACTAATAACACATTTATCAACGTTTAATTGTTCATTCACTCAAGCCTGCGGCCATCAAGTCGACTTTCTCTATCAGTATCAGAATGACAGATGTCCGTCGGTGCCGGGAAAAACATTGGTATCTTAAAGCTTATTTTATTCCTACCGTTTAAATAATTAGGATCGGCACCTGAATTCAAGGGTCGCTCGGGTAATCGGAACTGCAACATTTTTTTTAAGCCCCAGCTTAACACGAATGTGTATGATACCGTGAGGACATACATGTTTCCTCATTTGCGGGAATTGTGATATTATTCCATACGCTAAAAGATCACACAGGACGCATGAAAGTAAGTCCCGAAGATTTTCGGGTATCGAATTTAATTTGATCTGGTCTTCCAGCCAATAGGATTGCGGCTACGTTCAGAATATGTTTATTGAAATGTTCATTGTCGACAGACGGGGTCAACCTTCAGTGGTGGAGACGAACACAGACATATTCTGGAAGCAGGCAGATTTTGGCTACGTTAAAGAGAGGAGAAACAACCTGAGGACATATTGCAGCCCACAAGCACAGGTTGTTCCTTAATGCCATTCTTAATATTTACTGATTTATTGCATTTTACGCCGGAATATAATGGGATTCCATACTGGGACCCATGTGAGGAATTGAACCCGGGACCTCGTCGCGACGAACGAACGCTTTACCACAAGGCCACCCCACCACTCTGACCGATCAGAATACATTTATAGATTATAGATATTCATAATGTCATTCTCTGTCTTCATGATTTGATATATATTTCAGCGTCCTGTTTAATTACAGGGCGACGGGGAGGCCATGTGGTTTAGGTGTTCGCTCTTCATGCCGAATGCCCGGGTTCGTTCACCACATGGGTACAATGTTCGAAGCCAATATTTGGTGGTCCCAGACGTGATATTCCCGCCTAAAAACGGCTTAAAATACTCTCTCACACATGTGTCATTGTTCTGATAATACAAAGCTGTAGCTCGTGGTTTCGCAAAATCCGCTGTACAATGACAAGAGCACATGCTTATGAATCCCTATCAAATAGTGTTGACACCAGGTGTTGCCATAAGCGTTAACATACCTATGATCCACCGGTTGTTCATGTCACAAACACATGCAAAGGCAGTTCAAATGTTATCTGAACAAATACGGCGATTTATGGCACACGTTAAAATCATGAGTTTTGTGTCGGGCAATATTTTGGTCGCCGGTAATAATATTTTGTAGGGACATTGGGGTAGCCTAGTGGTTAAGGCGTTCGCTCGTCATGCCCAAGACCTGGGTTCGATTCCCCACATGGGCACAATGTGTCAAGCCCATTTCTGGCGTCCCCCGTCGTGCTATTGCTGGAATATTGCCAAAACGGCGTAAAACTAAATTCACTCACTCACTGATATTTTGTAACTGTCCTCTTCATGTCCATATAAACGTTGCTGATAGTTTTCCTAAGGCCTTACATTTTGTAACCCAGATGAAATCCTGTTCGATGTCTCACGAACTAATGCAACAAAACCCCTCAGCATCTGATACACCACCTACATACATAACACCTGTGATGGCGATTATGTCATACCAGACCACCCAGCCGTCCTTGAAACAGTTCCTGGCTCACGTTAATGTGACAAGCATCGCGCAACAGGTGTATATAGGAGGCTGGCGTTCTCTCTACACGACAGATGGATATTTATCATTCTGTCAGTTCGTGAATGACATCAAAACGATGGTGGTGTTATCTAACAGCATCAAGGACGACGATAATGACGATAAAAATATGTATGATTATAACGCGTCAGATCCACATCCTAAGGCATACTGAGAGTACTACATTATTGAGTGAATGAGTGAGTGAGTGTGTAATTGTCCCAAACTCATATGCAATTCCTTATTGTGTAATAGTGATTTTTAGTGCATTTTAAATAAATACACTGTCTATATGAAACTTAGTGTGCGCCTTATGAGTGAGTGAGTTTAGTTTTACGCCGCACTCAGCAATATTCCAGCTATATGGCGGCGGTCTGTAAATAATCGAGTCTGGACCGTATGAATTAATATGTGATGGAAATGTCTCTTCTGCATAAAACAGTATATACTATTATAAATCTGAAACACTCATTCCGTGAGTTAAGTTTTACGACGCTTTTAACAATGTTCCAGCAATATCACGGCGGGGAACACCAGAAATGGGCCTCATACATTGTACACGTGTGGGGAATCGAACCGGGCCTTCGACGTGACGAGGGAACGCTTTAACCACTAGGCTACCCCACTGCCCCATTATGTTATTTACCCGGTATATGGATCAGTATGCAGTCGATTTTTATTTTCGACTCCCTGAGGGGGAATGCAGGCAAATCTGCGCTAGAAATTAACGACACAGTTCAATCTTGTCCTACTAGGTACCCATTCACTGCTGGGAGACATAATTCGAAGGCCACTTGCCAAGGGATACCACATGCAACATATGTTACCGAATTAAGCCCAATTAACACAAGCTGTCGAATTTGGTCACCGCGACCAACGTTACTCAACTTGGCTTGAATTTAGCTGCGCGCACAGTTTACAGCACAACGTGCTGCAACAATATGTCTCGAACGTGAGTTCGATTAATTTCAGTGTCACGTGGACCGAAGCCAGGCATCAATGCGGAGTATGCATGTAGACGGATACCCAGTTTGTCTGAACCCTTTAATACGGACATCATGTATTGTGGACTGTTTTAGAAAGTATAAGAGTCATCAACACGCAGCTGGGAAGACAAGTATCCTTTCGTAATGAAAACGCTGCAAGTTTCAGGTCCAAAACTATATTGTCAGCATCAAAAGATTCACTACCGAATAACCATTTCTTGTCTTGTCAATTCTCAAGGCTGAAAGCAGTCGCAGAATCACTTGAAAAAATACTCATCATCGAATAATCATTTTTGTTGGTTACTTTTTTGCCATCATAAATCGTGGAATGGGTGCTGGGCAGAATATCCTCTGGTGAGCGGGAGGACGCGTCATGTCAAAAGATAACATGGTATTTGTTGTTTCCTTGGCTCGCGCTCGACCTTAAGGGCATTAAGCAAGTGGTCAGCTGGGTGTATGCTGTGTTTGAGTTGGTATCCATATGGAACTATTAGCGGGCTACCAGTGTAACACCGGCATTAATTAGTCTTGACTAAAGTACGTCCACACACGCACGGACACACACACACACACACACACACACACACATACATACATACATACATACATACACACATACATACACAGACATACATACACAGACAGACAGACATACATACATACATACATACATACATACATACATACATACATACATACATACATACATACATACATACACACACATACATCCATCCATCCATCCATCCATCCATCCATCCATACATACATACATACATACATACATACATCCATACATACATCCATCCATCCATACATACATACATACATACATACATACATACATACACCCAAACAGACACATATACACGCCCACCCACTTACAAATAATATGCTGCCTCTGGAAATACATCTCGACCATATCGCGCGCTCGCACGCGCACGCACGCACGCACACTTATATGAACTCTACTGAACGCGACGTTAAACCCCACGTACAGACGAACCCCGTTGTCTGGATCCCCATCTTGATACCTGTTCAAGTGAGCGAGTGAGTGAGTGAGTTGGGTTTAGCAGTACTTCTGTGAATAGTAATTCAGTTATATCAAGGTCCGTCATCCTGATTTGAGAGGAAATCCAAAGTAATGCAGAGTTAGTTTGTTTACCACTCGGGGGGAAACCTCGAACGCAAGTATTTACAGGAAATATAACTGGCGTGAACCTGTGACTCGAACCAGTGTTCACAGGTTTCGGGTGTGCCAAAGGGACGCAACTCTTCACATCGAATTGGGACGCTTTACAAACCTGGATGCTCTGGCGACATAGGTTATGAGAACGATAGCCATACAGTGTCCAGGACTTTGACGACGTATTAAACGACTTTGCATCGTTGTACTCCGCTGTTACTCAACCCATATGTTGGGAGGGGACATGAAGCACACGTACCCATTTAAGAATCGAACCAGGACTTATGGCAAGACTAGCGTACACCTCAACCACTAGGCTACCTCGGAAGTTTTGAACTAGTCAGAATATGAGTTCTGGTACGTTAACACAGTTCGATTTATTTGTCTATCCTGTAAATAAATATTTAGAATATAAAATACCCCTGAATGTACTCTATACCTACAGGGTGACTCGTCACTGGAGTGCGTGGACGGCCTAAAGTACTGCCGCGCAACAAACATGTACATTGACCTCCGTACAGCCGGGCTGGCAGATCAGGGAAAAAGGTACAGTTGCATGTTACACAATTAACTATGGAATCTAAGCAGGGACATTGTCGCTCTGTCGCCGTTTGGGTGAATAGAAACATACTCGCGTTGTCGCATTGTCGCTCTTTGGTTTAATTTTACCTCTTTTTGCTTGTTTTTGAGAGGGCGACATTGCGACAACGCGACAATATCCCTTCTAGGATTCCATAATTAACCGTTGTGTTAAACAGTACCTCACGCAGCTCATTTCACCCAGGGAGACACTCAGCGTTCATAGGTACATCCCCTAACTGTACAACCTTAAAAGCTTCCTGGTCTATTTGCGTACGTTACAATACGCTATAGAAATATTGAAAGTTCTCATACGTAACAGTGTGTAATGTTTGTCTGTTTCCGTGTGTACCTACACCACCACACACACACACACACACACACACACACACACACCCTGTGCTCATCCGTACAACTTGCTACACTGCTTACATGGTTTTAAAGTGGGCTCTTTCTTAAGATGGTCAAGTGTGTTTAAAGCATGCATGCATCATCTTTTCTGTTTAGGTAAACATCAGTACCGTCATTCAACACAAATGTACGTGCCGCTGCATGTGTATATAAGCAGGTACGTTGGTAAGTCATGACTGTGATGTGTAGGAAACAGGTTTTTAACTTCAGTCAGCGCGAAAAAAGAGAATATCAACGTGAGAATAGGAGCATCGTGGGAATCAAGATTTGTTGTTTTGATTCCAAAGTGCCTAAAGCCCAAGCTGTCCCCTTCCATTGTTTTCATATTCGCTGATGCATACATTCCTAGCTTCCTGTATATCTTGATGCCTACGTTCCTAGCTTCCTGTATATCTTGATGCCTACATTCCTAGCTTCCTGTATATCTTGATGCCTACATTCCTAGCTTCCTGTATATCTTGATGCCTACATTCCTAGCTTCCTGTATAGCCTGATGCCTACGTTCCTAGCTTCGTGTACATCATGATGCTTACATTCCTAGCTTCCTGTATATCTTGATGCTTACATTCCTAGCTTCCTGTATATCCTGATGCCTACATTCCTATCTTCCTGTATAGCCTGATGCCTACATTCCTAGCTTCCTGTATATTCTGATGCCTACATTCCTATCTTCCTGTATAGCCTGATGCCTACATTCCTAGTTTCCTGTATATCCTGATGCTTACATTCATGATTCCTGTATATCCTGATTCTTACATTCATGATTCCTGTATATCCTGATGCTTACATTCATGATTCCTGTATATCCTGATGCCTACATTCATGATTCCTGTATATCCTGATGCTTACATTCATGATTCCTGTATATCCTGATGCCTACATTCATGATTCCTGTATATCCTGATTCTTACATTCATGATTCCTGTATATCCTGATTCTTACATTCATGATTCCTGTATATCCTGATTCTTACATTCATGATTCCTGTATATCCTGATGCCTACATTCATGATTCCTGTATATCCTGATGCCTACATTCATGATTCCTGTATATCCTGATTCTTACATTCATGATTCCTGTATATCCTGACCCTTACATTCATGATTCCTGTATATCCTGATGCTTACATTCATGATTCCTGTATATCCTGACCCTTACATTCATGATTCCTGTATATCCTGATGCTTACATTCATGATTCCTGTATATCCTGACCCTTACATTCATGATTCCTGTATATCCTGATGCCTACATTCATGATTCCTGTATATCCTGATGCCTACATTCATGATTCCTGTATATCCTGATGCTTACATTCATGATTCCTGTATATCCTGACCCTTACATTCATGATTCCTGTATATCCTGATTCTTACATTCATGATTCCTGTATATCCTGATTCTTACATTCATGATTCCTGTATATCCTGATGCCTACATTCATGATTCCTGTATATCCTGATGATTCCTTTACATTCATGATTCCTGTATATCCTGATGCTTACATTCATGATTCCTGTATATCCTGACCCTTACATTCATGATTCCTGTATATCCTGATTCTTACATTCATGATTCCTGTATATCCTGATTCTTACATTCATGATTCCTGTATATCCTGATGCCTACATTCATGATTCCTGTATATCCTGATGCCTACATTCATGATTCCTGTATATCCTGATTCTTACATTCATGATTCCTGTATATCCTGATTCTTACATTCATGATTCCTGTATATCCTGATGCCTACATTCATGATTCCTGTATATCCTGATGCCTACATTCATGATTCCTGTATCCTGATCCTCTTACATTCATGATTCCTGATTGTATCCTGATGCTTACATTCATGATTCCTGTATATCCTGATGCTTACATTCATGATTCCTGATATCCTGATGCTTACATTCATGATTCCTGTATATCCTGATTCTTACATTCCTGATTCCTGTATATCCTGATTCCTATATTCATTCATTCATGATTCCTGTATATCCTGATTCTTACATTCATGATTCCTGTATATCCTGATGCCTACATTCATGATTCCTGATTTATATCCTGATGCCTACATTCATGATTCCTGTATATCCTGATTCTTACATTCATGATTCCTGTATATCCTGATTCTTACATTCATGATTCCTGTATATCCTGATTCTTACATTCATGATTCCTGTATATCCTGATGCCTACATTCATGATTCCTGTATATCCTGATTCTTACATTCATGATTCCTGTATATCCTGATGCTTACATTCATGATTCCTGTATATCCTGATTCTTACATTCATGATTCCTGTATATCCTGATTCTTACATTCATGATTCCTGTATATCCTGATGCTTACATTCATGATTCCTGTATATCCTGATTCTTACATTCATGATTCCTGTATATCCTGATTGCTTACATTCATGATTCCTGTATATCCTGATTCTTACATTCATGATTCCTGTATATCCTGATTCTTACATTCATGATTCCTGTATATCCTGATGCCTACATTCATGATTCCTGTATATCCTGATTCTTACATTCATGATTCCTGTATATCCTGATTCTTACATTCATGATTCCTGTATATCCTGATTCTTACATTCATGATTCCTGTATATCCTGATTCTTACATTCATGATTCCTGTATATCCTGATGCCTACATTCATGATTCCTGTATATCCTGATTCTTACATTCATGATTTCTGTATATCCTGATGCCTACATTCATGATTCCTGTATATCCTGACGCTTACATTCATGATTCCTGTATATCCTGATGCCTACATTCCTAGCTTCCTGTATATCCTGATGCCTACATTCCTAGCTTCCTGTATATCCTGATGCCTTTATTCCTAGATTCCTGTATAGCCTGATGCCTACATTCCTAGCTTCCTGTATATCCCGATGCCTACATTCCAAGCTTCCTGTATATCCCGATGCCTACATTCCTAACTTCCTGTGTATCCTATACTTATGATTCCTATATATGCTGATGCCTAGATTCCTTGATTCTTGTACATGCTGATGCCTACAAGGAACGGTTAAGATTACAATATATCATATCTCAAAGAGCATCTGTATTTGTCAAGTTTTGACGCCAGTCAACCATTTTACGATTTGTACTTTTGCTTTCTGCGAAAGCCTAATGGTGACAATTGGCAGCATAAATCAATTTTTTAAATGAAAATTTCTCATTATTTGAAAAACTTGTGTAGTTTTACAAAATTCTCGATATTTTCGCGTTATTTCCTTATATTCTAATATTTTCTCGTTATTTGAGGTTTATATTAAAAACGAAAAAAAAATCGAATCAACGAGAAATTACGAAAAATAAGTCAACAACTGAAACACGGTTTAAAAATATACAAAAAAACAACAATTTGTGGTACCAAAGTGGCACCATTAAGCTTGCGTAGATTTTCACAGAAACAGCGTGGAACTTCGAAATCCTAGGTTCACAGTACTTAGAACATTTATCATGTGCCAAATCTCAAAATAATTACTAACACACATTATGAGCAAAGACAATCACCAGTCAATATTATATTTACATCCGTGTCTGAAACTTCTTCAGCTATCGCCAGGACGTATTAAAGAGTGGTCAGATTGGTGGTTATTGCCGGCTGGACAAGGCTGGACTCCTCGCCCAGAAGGACAACACTGGATTCCTGTCGTCTTGGTCAGTATGTCAACCATGTTTCTTTTAGCGCACTCACCGCATCTTCTCTAGTCAAGGGAGTTAATCGACTCTGAAATTTCCACCCATGCCGAAAAAGGCTGAAATTTTGGAGTTACGTTTTGGCTGGCGAAAAGAGTCTATGCGTAGCCCAATCAAAATTGAGGCACGAAATCGACATCCGGTTCATACACTGCCGTATAGATTGCGGTCGATTTCCGAATTTCGTGTGTAGGGTCATCGGGACGTCGATAGTTTCCAGGTCTGTTTGTTTCTGAATCAACTGTTCCAAGGTAGCGCTGTACTTCACGAGACAAGGCTCGTTTTGTACAAGATGTTTAAAGCAAATGCACATGGCATGAGAGGATCAATCTGATTGGTTAATAGAAGGGGCATCTAAGGGACAGAACTGTTTATAGCAACCAGTGGCGAGCGTAACATAGAACCACGAAATTTTAGCCGACTTTATTAAGTGAGTGAGTGGATATTTATAGTCATAGTCAGCCATATCGGGACTAAAACAAGTAATACACACTAATGTCATTTTCCTTTTTACATGTTATTATATTATATTTTATTATATTTGTCGACATAGGACAGGAATGAATGAATGAATGAATATTGCTTTACGCCGAATCGGCAATTTTCAAGCTTTTCTCAGCCACAGGAAAGGAAAAGAACTGGAGTATCAGAGAGATTGATTTAGAATAAATATGTAATCATTGAAATATTATATATCACTGAGCTATAGATGTCCAGCAGCCAAACTTTGGCCACCCCTATACTGACCATGGAGACTAACGCTACTTCTGCAAATTTGGATAGGCTGGTTGTTGTTTTACGCCGCACACCAGCTATATGGCGTCGGTCTGTAAATAATCGAGTCTGGGCCAGGCAATCCAGTGATCAACAGCATGAGCATTGATCTACGCAATTACCTCAGTTGCATTTACACCATCACTCAGTCAACTGTCGAGTATTAGATGATTATTCATAACTGTTAAAGCTAACAAGAATACTACGATGAAAACAAGGAGGAAAATACTAAAACGGGACTTCGACAAAGGCGGAAACTGGACTCGGTTGTCCCCTCTAGACCTCCATAACAATGTCGTCTTACATGAAATGACATTCACCAGATTCTGTGCAAATGGTTGTTTTCTCTACTCAGGTATCATGAAATGGAACATTTCACCTCACTTACTTCTCGCCCACTACAATCCGGCAAATGTGACGTCATTATCGACAAACCAACGTTCATTATAAAGCTTGACGCAGGTGAGTGAACGATTGTTTCATATACACTGCTTCCCTCTTGGATCAGAAAATAGCATGAGGAAATTCGAAGAATTGTTCTACTTTCGAAAGGCGACGGCAACTCTTAAACATTTGCGTAGTAAACTACGGTTAAAACGAACTCAAAACATTTTAGTTCATGATAACGTTGTACGCAGTTCGTATAAAATATACAGCAAACGGCTGTGATTAAAAAAACAACAACCCAAAACAACCAGAACTTGTATTTTGACACTGGTTGTTTGTTACTGGTCTGCTGACTTGTTTCATGTCTAGAAACTTGAGAGAGCTGGTTGGTTGGTTGTTGTTTAACGCCGCACTCAGCAATATTCCAGCTATATCGCGGCGGTCTGTAAATAATCGAGTCTAGACCAGACAATCCAGTGACCAACAGCATGAGCATCGATCTGCGCAATTGGGAACCGATGACATGACCAAGCCAGCGAGCCTGACCACCCGACCCCGTTAGTCGCCTCGTACAACAAGCATGGGTTGCTGAAGATCAATTCCCAACCCGGATCTTCACGGGTCCTCGAGTAATTAAGATGAGTGTAAGGCCTTTTATACAGTAGATTCCCAGCCACTCGCTGTATATTTTAGCCGAAATGCAGATAAGGAACTACGGTTATAACGAACTAAACTTAGTACTCCCTTTGAGTTCGTTATAATCGTAGTTTATTTAGGAGATAATCCTGTTGTGTTTACATTTTGGAAGTGATTATAGTTGGTTGAACGCTGATAATTTTTTTATTTAAGACCTCACGCGTTAGCGTGAAACATTTAGCAGCGTTCAACCAACTATAATCACTTCCACAATGTAAACACACAAGGATTATCTCCATTCTACCATGACATATGCACCATGAATAAAACGCGTTTTAAATATGCACTCATTACCCTTGCGTAGTGTTTTGACACTACGCGCAGTGAACCGGCTCTCAGAAGTGGTTATTGAAAAAAATTCATTTCTAATCTTTTAGTAACAGCCAATCAAAAAACGAACATACTAAAATGTCATGGTAGAATGTATGTGTGAACCAAACCCGTGAACTCAATGAGACAGACTTATTCAGTCTCGTTTTTAAGCGGCAGCTAGAGTGTATAGTGTTGGTTCCACGACAGTAACATCGTAATCCCGCTTCAGGTGGGAACATGTTCCACCACTTCTGCGACTTCGTCAACCTCTACATCAGTCAGCATCTCAACAACTCCTTCTCCCCTGACGTCAACATCCTTGTGTGGGACACGGTGAGTACATCTTTGTTTGACGCCGCACGTTTGTTTATCCACACGTTCTTAATTGTTGCACCTTAGATCTTCGTAGGGGTAACAATAATTATAGCATTGGTATATAATAAACTCATTTGTTGACATCTAAAATCGATTTTATTTCAATAAATATTTTATGACATCTTGAAATCTCATTTCATCTAATGGCAATCTAATGTCACATCTAATGGCAATCTAATGTCACATCTAATGGCAATCTAATGGCACATATAATGGCAATCTAATGGCACATCTAATGGCAATCTAATGTCACATCTAATGTCACATCTAATGGCAATCTAATGGCAATCTAATGGCACATCTAATGGCAATCTAATGGCACATCTTATGGCAATCTAATGGCACATCTAATGGCAATCTAATGTCACATCTAATGGCAATCTAATGTCACATCTTATGGCAATCTAATGGCACATCTAATGGCACATCTAATGGCAATCTAATGGCACATCTAATGGCACATCTAATGGCAATCTAATGGCACATCTTATGGCAATCTAATGGCACATCTAATGTCACATCTAATGGCAATGTAATGGCACGTCTAATGGCAATCGGATGGCACATCCAATGGCAATCTAATGGCACATCTAATGGCAATCTAATGGCACGTCTAATTTCACATCTAATGGCACATCTAATGGTAATCTAAAGGCACATCTAATGGCACATCTACTGGCAGCCCATGTCGTTGACGATGAGTGACAATGACCTTGAATAACACCCTGTGGGGGCGGGTGGCCAAGTCATCTTAGAATAGACTGAGTGGCGTCCTTGGTAACATCAGAAACCAATGACTCTGAGTTCGAATCCAGGTTCTCTCCGATTCTGCTTCTAGATTTGTCAGGGCGATGCCCTAACTCGTTGGTTTCACCAGAGTGGTAATCGTCTGAGACTTGCGTACACTTCGGGCCTTCTTCCCACATTCCCAATTGCGCAGATCGATGCTTATACTGTTGGACCAGTTATTTACAGACCACCGTCATATAGCTTGAATATTGTTGAATGCGGCGTAAATCTAAACTCACTGACTTACTCTTCCCACATTCAACAATGTCCGCAGAAATACTGTTAAAAGGCAACATTGAACCCAACTTACTCAATCAATCAACAAGTATGTCCTCAACGTACGCTTGATAATTTCTAGTTTAACTTCTAGAAAGCATTGAACCTGTCTTCCAGTCTCGCAAGTACATGGAACTCTTCGGGGAGACATGGGACGCCTTTACTGACCATCCGCGCCTTATGCTGGTTGACCTTGAAGGGAACAGAGTAAGTGCCTTTATATCTGTGGACAAATTGTTTTCATATACCTCTGTTGAGAATCTTATATTTCCACGAAACACTACATTTCATTGGACAATTCAATCACGTGATTGACAGTGATCGCGAATTTTAACTCGTCACGTGATCAGTATTGATATGTCACGTGATTAATAGACTCTCGTCTGCTGGAAAACAAGATGGCGTCTGGTCGTAACATATCTGTTGGCGGTTTACTGTCACGAAAGTGGGGGCACTTTAAAGGCTTTGGTATTTTTAGAAGGGGATCGTCGGACTGTGTTGGTAAATTATAAAGAACGTTTCCTTTGTCACAACGAAGATCGAAGTAAATACCTTTCTTAGTGAGTTTGCCCGTTGGTTATTCCTCATCTCTTCGAATAGTCGGGTTCGATTCCCCATATGGGTACAGCTTCTGCTGCCAGTTATTGACACCAAGCTCCTTCATCATATTTCCAATTATTTTAACTGATTTAATTGATGTTTGCATTTTAGCAACAGAAATCTGATCAAAAATTTGTTGCTATGTTAAAGAGGCATATTCTTCTCTCTTTCTGTAATGCCTCTAAAAAAAATATTTGTTTTTTTTTTACTTCCATCTTGGGTTAGAGAGGGAAAAGGTAACTCTTGCCGCTAGACCTGGGTTCGATTCCCCACAATATTACAATGTGTGAAGCCCATTTCTGGTGTCTCCCGCCGTGATATTGCTGGAATATTGCGAAACACGGTGTAAAACCATGCTCACTCACTTCTTAGTTGAACGTATTAAGCATGGCAGTCACCAGAGTATTGTTTCAGGTTTGTTTCAAGGAAGCCATCTTTTCTTTCCTGGCCCGGATGACACAGGGGCTGTTCTACGCCCTTCGACCCGTGAGTAAATCGTACGTTAGTCAAAGGAAACCCCGAGCCACTAAGGATGACGGATTTTCCGTGGCGCCGAACTGGAAAATTAATTCATACCTCGAAGAATATCTGTAATCATTCGTAGGTCCTTATTTTTCTTCAATAGACAGGGCGATGGGGTAGCCCAAATTGTTTCTGTATGAGTTTCTCTTCAAATCAACTCTGGGGCGATAGGGGTAGCCTAGTGGTTAAATCGTTCGCTGACCACGCCGAAGACCTGGGTTCGATTCCCCACATTGGTACAATGAGTGAGTGAGTATTGTTTTACTCCGCTTTTAGCAATATTCCAGCAATATCACGGCGGGGAAACCAGAACTGGGCTTCACATATTATACCCATGTGGGGAATCAAACCCGGGTCTTCGGCGTGACGAGCGGACGCCTTAACAACTAGGCTACCCCACAGCCTCCCACATGGGTACAATATATGCAGCCCATTTCTGGTGTCACCCGCCGTGATGTTGCTGGAATATTGCTAAAAGCGGCGTAAAACCAAAAACCATTCACTCACTCTTAGCGCATGGGCTCGCTCGGCAGTTGCCGGATCCCAACTTAGAGCGCCACACTGTTGATTCATTCCTGAACAGCATGTCTTTTATTGTTTGAACACTGCTTTGTTCGAAGTAACAAAAAATATATGTTTAATTCTATAGCCCATTTAATTTTTATTCCTGTGAGTGGTTGTGGTAGCGGTCCAATGCACTGCTTGGCCCGGAGGGTGTAATGCTGTAAAGACGGCTGTGTCCCTGCTTTTAACCTGTGACTAACGCTTTTATGTTTGACCCCGCATAACATGTATGTGACCTCGATGAGATGCCGGGTTCCCATCAACCTCTGCTTGTCGAAAGAGGCGACAGTTAGAGCGAGTTCTCGGTGACTTGGTTCATTGTGGTGACGGTTGGGTGTAGCCCAGTGGTTAAAGCGTTCGCTCGTCACACAGACGACCCGGGTTCGATTCCCCACATGGGTATAGCGTGGGAAGACAATTGTGTATCCACGCTGTGATATTACTGGAATATTGCTAAAAGCGGAAGAAAACGGTTTGTCTGGTCCAAACTCCAAATTATATAGAGAACCGGTTAGGTATGGCATACTGCAGGGACAAGCAAATATATAAGTAGAGACCGCCCTGAGTGGTTGTTATCGTGGCATCGACTCCCCACATGGGACAATGTGTTAAGCCCTTTTCTGGTGTCCCCCGCCGTGATATTGCTGGAATATTGCTAAAAGCGGCGTAAAACTAAACTCAGTCAGCCGAGTCAAGATGAATGCTTGTTAACATCACTCCGTTTAAATCCAAAGATGGAGATTATATACAGTAAGTTGATGAATTATGTTTTTTTTATGAATTTGAACTTTAAATCCTTAGGACGTTTCTATTTTATGATGGAATTGTTATTTTTAACCCCTCAACCACCGCCGCCACAAAGCTCGAATATTACTATCTGTAACTGTATACAAGCAAATTATCACATCAACATATACAGAAATGTATGTGATTTTCTGCGAACCCGGGTCTTTAGAGTGACCAACGAACGAACGCTTTAACCACTAGGCTAGCCTCACTTCTTGTATTTGTAATATAGAACACAAACACAGTCCGTTACTACACTGTTTTCCAGGTGAATAACTGCTACAACAGCGGGTTGATGAGGGCGTTCTCCCAGCACATCCTCCACAGACTGGGGGTACGTCAACACGGACCTCTGGTACGTCAAACTGTTTCACAGACGCACAGACTGACATTCACATTCACCTCTATACTAGTGTTGGGGAATTGGATGAAATCTCACAATTGATGATTGGTTCACTACCAACGACCGATCATCGAAAAAATTGATTAGCGTCATTTTTCAGATTTTCCTATTCAAGTTGACCTTGCAGATAAGCATAACATGGTTGCCTGTTGTTGTTTTGGGTTTGTTTGGTTTTGTCTAGGTTTTTGTCTTTTTTTTTTTTTCCTTTCCTTTTGTTTTTTTTAGTTAGAAACTTGCATAATGCGTTTGCAAATGTCACATCCAATGCAAAATGATGCAACTTTAAAGTGATGACTAATATATCATTAACATAAACTTTAAGAGTCTTTAAGAAATATTCAGTTATGACTTCAGTAAGTGAAGTGAGTTTACTAAGAATTAAACACGTTTCCGGGCCCTGACAACTTCTATGATATGTTCCAGTGTCAAATGTTTCAAACACTAAAAAAGTAGTTCCAAAATCGTTTGTGTTCGATTATGAGAAAATGTGATCGATTGCTTGGTCGTTTGGTCACTGCGACCAATCTTCGATTATTTCAATTAATCGGACCACCGCTACTCTATACACGTGTGCGCATACACGTCCGAAAAAACAGACGCCAATTTGAATTGTCTACGCTGGAGATACAGACTAAAATGGGTTAATAAGGCGGTTCGTTTTGGCTTCTCTGGACCACACACCTATCTCAAGAATGACTCAGATTGCGATTTTGTGCTCCAATGTGGAAACGTGATCATGCTGTCCACCACTGGTTTGTCTGATACGTTTGTCAACATGATCTCAGTCCCTATATATTTGAGTGCGTGAACGTTGTTTTACGCCGCGCCAGCAGCTCCACGTTAGCGTAGCTGCTTGTAATTATCCGAACTAATATTGTTCTGAGTGCTAGCGGGGCGGTGGGGTAGCCTAGTGGTTAAAGCGTTGACTCGTCACGCCGAAGACCCGGGTTCGAATTCCCACATAGGTACAATGAGTGAAGCCCATTTCTGGTGTTCCCCGCCGTGATGTTGCATGAATATTGCCTAAAAGCGGCGTAAAACCAAACTCAGTCAGTCAGTCAGTCAGTAACCCACTGATAGACTGTGGCAATTTATCCCGATGTCCCACTTTCACACTAGTCCGTATTTCCTGTATCCTGATAAGCTGTGGCACCGTTTTTTACGATCGAACGGATATCCCCCACTCTGCACAGGCATAGGACACTGTTGGCAAACACTGTTTGATAACATGTAGATTGTTTGTTGTTTGTCGCTCACCAGCAGCAATATTTCCTGTATGCCCTGACCACAAGGTCACAAGGTTGCTGAACATCCTGTTATAGCGGATCTTCACGGGTCGATAAAATGTGTTGACAAAGTCAGCACTGATATATAGTGTTCTTACGTAAAGCATGCGAAGACCAGTTATAACCCGGCGGGCTGTGGTTGACAAACACCGGATATGAGCTGACTGCGAGACGCGGTTCAGCACATCACCCCAGTTCAGCACATCACAGCAGCAGTCTCACAACGTGATCAACTTCAGATGTGTCCCATTACAAAATGTGTATACACGCACAGTCTGAGGATACAGCGTCGAAACTCGTGACTACACCGATACAAGCATGCAACAGTTGTGAAAACATGTGACGTGAAGAACATGCGCCAAGATCTCTGACCTTCAGGGTTCGAGGCTGTTGCGCCAACACTTCGTACATTTACGTAAATGAAATGATTCCGGAATTTCTATGTATTTGCTGTGTACATCTCTAAATTATATCCCTACATAATTAAACTGTTTGAATCCATATATTATTATTCGTATCGAATCAAAATGAGGAGACTTTTGCCTATAGTATTTAATACCTTTGCTCCAATTTCAAAATCATCAACGGTTCGAATACTTAAATATAAGCCTTATAAATTCATGTGTGCCGATGATCAGTCATTGAATGTTAAAGGCACATCAGACTTCTCTAAAAATATATAGTGCAACTCTCACAATAATACTAACTATCAGCCCTCAGGAAAGCTACCATATAATTTATCTCAACAGGCGAGGAAAGTACGTGTGACCTTCATGTCTCGAAACACCAGGTACAGGAAGATACGAAATATTGACAAGGTAGGTTGCTGCTGCTGATATTGTTGTTGATGGTGATGATAATGATGATGTCATGGTGGTAGGATGATGATAATGATGATTATGATAATGTTACCGATACTATAAATGTGACACTAATGATGTAGTAAGGTTCCCCAAGGGCCTCCCGACAAAATAGACATGGGGAACTGCTGGTCAGTGTAACTAAGTAGCGCGTTGTTCGTGATATCAGTCACTGGTTTGCGTGGTTCCGATTGAATTATTTATAGCTGGAATAGTGTTGATCACGATGTTACAGTAATAGCTCCTAGAATCCTCATACTGTGTCATAAGGTAACAACTCAAATTTTATTTTAATTCGTTCAAGTTGGAATCCGCCCTGAAGAGTCACTCCGACCTCGACGTGAAAGTAGTTGACTACAACAGGTGAGATTTTACTTTAGGCTACAGAATATGATTTTAAAACAATGGCTACATATTCTACAGAAGAGTGTGTTTACGTATCCCATCTGACTCGTGAAGATCCAGGTTACAATTGATCTTCAGTAACCCATGCTTGTCGTAAGAGGCGACTAACGGGATCGGGTGGCCAGACTCCCTGACTTGGTTGACACATGTCATCGTATCCCAATTGTGTAGACAGATGCTCATACATCACTGGATTATCTGGTCCAGACTCGATTATTTACTGACCGCCGCCATATAGCTGGAATATTGCTGAATGGCGTAAAACTAAACTCACTCCTCACTACAAAGGTTGCGTTTGTACATGACAACGGTTATCGATCATGAAAGTTACATGGATCAATAAATATGTTGAAAATTTGAATGTTAACATGAATAAATAAAATAAACATTCCCAATATTTCATATGCTTCACTATGTTTGAAGAACGTACGAAAACCTAACCTAAACATTAAACAGAAAACCCTGTGAACAGTTAGTTAAACACTCGACAACTCTGGTAACAATAGGTATGTGTTTCATGTCTTCCTGGTAACAATAGGTATGTATTTCATGTGTTCCTTCTAAACATGCCACTTCAGAGATATGGTCTATTATTGAAATGATATGATTTCTTACACACCCGTGGGTTAGAAACCCATGTGAGAAAACTGGTATCACACATATGTGTGAGATCGATTTCTAATCCCGTGATTGGCTACTCCATGGTGATGACCTAGGGTCAGGTTATGACGGACTACTTTCCAGATTAAAATTCATTGATAAGTTACTCTTGCTTCAATCGAACAGAAACCTGTTACTCGTGCCCAAAAAACACCTTTACACCTGCCTGTTATTTTCACGATTGCAACATAAACAGGTATGTATACAATGAAACACAATTAGAATAAATATAACACGAATCTATTTATTTTCTAATTCCTTTTATTAACACTTTAGATTTCCAGTCATGAATTCAAAATGGCTCGAACAATCAGTGATACCTGTGTAAACAATTATGTGAAAATCGCCGTTAGAAATAAAGACCGGGATTCCCTTCGAATATTCAAAATGTACAACGTTGGTACTTTTACTGGAGAGATACGACAAGCGTCATGTATCGTCTTGCAAAAATACCTGACACGATAACGTCAGTGTCTGTCCATTGTGAGATCGATTTGCCTCGTTGTTTCTTTGATGCATTGATGAAGATGACATGTTTCACTGATACACATGATGAAGACCCACTTCCAGCTCCGAGATACTATGTGATTCCAATGTTATCAAATTCACTCATGACAATCAGAACAAAAACACACTCGTTGAAACAATGTATCAACATGGAACGTTTTGCAAGGCTTCATGAGTGCAAATGGCGGCACACGTCCTTTCTATTCAATCGAACATGTACAGGAACGGTTGATCTACACATAAGTCATTGCTCAAGATATTCCTCCGACGCATGATAATGCAAAGTTTATGTCTTGATAACATACAGGATGTAATCAACTCACATTTCATACTGACAACTCCGTAAATTCCGTTACATTCCAAGTGGCAGTTTCTGGCTCGGGAAAACGAGAAGGATGTGGCGAAGAAGAGTAGTCCCCCATTGATAGTGAACGTAACTTCAGCAATGTCACATTCAAGCACATGGGTTACACCTAATTACGCACACTCAATAGTTTTGGCTCCGGTCGATGGGAGAACACTGAACGTAAACTGGTACACAAGTACAGATCCCCAACGTCCAGAGATATCCAAAACAATCTTCCGATGACGACAACCACCAAGCGATAACGATGATGTCACACGCTCAAATATTTTTGGCTTGCAAGAATTAAATCATCCACATTGGACGGTAACATCATCGTTTTAGAGGGTTTAATTAATTTTCTGTGATGTTATCTAGTTTTCGTTATCACTATTGCTTGATGATGCGAAGAGGTGGCAGAAACTTTTTTGTGGAGGGTCACCTATGGGGAAGATACATATTACCAATGACGTCACTCATTCATAAACGCTGTCTGTCGCAGCTACGATGAGGAAAATATGAAATGTCAATCCTATCGACCTTAAAATTATGTAAGAAACAGACTCGTTGTACAAAAGATAAATGGTATCTGACAGACACTCGTTTAGTAATCTCTATTTATCATCCAAAACTGTGTTCCAACAGGAGATATCGTTTTGACAGTATATTTTGTACAATGCCCTGACAATGCTATTACGTCATGAACTTGATGACGTCACTATGCTTTGTCATCGCTGCACTGCAAGTCTAATGGCAGTACTGTGTTCAGAGATGTACATATTTCATTGTAAACTTAAGAAGAGTGATTGTCGATGATAAATAGAATCTCACCCTCGTTGATAAAAGTGAAAATATATTTGATATCAAAAGACACTCGGGTGAGATTCTCTATTTGTATCCCGCCCATATTGTATCGCACGCCAACTCGATTATTTACTGCTCGCCGCCAAAGAGCTGGAATATTGCTGGGTGCGGCGTTAAACAACAATCAAACCAACCAACAACAGACACATGCACCATGCAAGAATTCATGTACACTAAAATGTATATATTTACAACATATCTTTCTTCTTCAGAAATATACCGTTTCCGGAGCAATTAGAGGTAAGGACACTTCGTGCTGAGTTATATGAAAATGGTAGCTTTACTCCTGTCCTTGAGGACCGCCTCCGTGGTGTAGTGGTTAGAGCGTCCGCCCGGAGAGCGGAAGGTCGCGGGTTCGATCCCCGACTGCGTCATACCAATAGACGTTAAAATATAGTACTTGTTGGTCCCTGCCTGGCGCTCGGCATTAACGGGTATAACAAGGACTGGTCGGCTCGGAGTCAGTATACTGTGTCTGAGTGGGGTATTCATGCTTCACTGCGGCATGTTATCTCAGTGGGCTATCACTATAAACCAGCTTTAGTCTGGGCTAGTACAAGCAGCACATACACATACACACGCATGCACGTATGAGCGAAATATTCTCAAGCACGACGTAAAACCCAATTTCACCTCACCTCACCTGTCCTTGAGTTTCAAATACACTGAGATCCTTTTTTAAGAAGCCAAACTGTACATTACTCTGTGTTCACAGCCGTAATGTTGCACATATATTGCTTAAAGCGGCGTAAAATCATCGCATTTCTTCACGAATAGCGCCATTCGGATGTATAATTGATTGTTGGTCATAATATGAACACCGAAGCGAATGAAAATTACTGAGTGAGTTTAGTTTTCACCACTTTTAGCAGTATACCAGCAATATCACGGCCTGGGCACACCAGAAATGGGCTTCACACATTGTACCCATGTGGGGAATCGAACCCGGTTCTTCTGCGTGTCGAGCGAATGCTTTAACCACCAGGTTACCCCACCGCCCGACTGGAAATTAGATTGGTAACATCGCCTTTACCTTTGATTTACCAGATACAGTAGAAAGTAAAAATGGCATGCTACACCATCGTACTAGTTCATTAAAGTCAGACCGCCTCCGTGGTGTAGTGGTTAGAGCGTCCGCCCGGAGAGCGGAAGGTCGCGGGTTCGATCCCCGACCGCGTCATACGTTAAAATATGGTACTTGATGGTCCCTGCCTGGCGCTCGGCATTAATCGGTACAACAAGGACTGGTCGGCTCGGAGTCGGTATAATGTGTCTGAGTGGGGTATTCATGCTTCACTGCGGCATGGTATCTCAGTGGGCTAGCACTATAAAACCAGCTTAAGTCTGGGCTAGTACAAGCTGCCGCACATACACATACACACGCATGCACGTCGTCATATGAGCGAAATATTCTCCAGCGCGGCGTTAAACCCAATTTCACCTCACCTCACCTCATTAAAGCAAGGTCAGCTGTGTGCCTTTAGGAAGAAAACAACTGAAAGTTTACCGATTCATAATTCACATACTGAACCTGATATAAATAGTGAGTAGAACAACACCCACCGACCCTGACGAAGCAGGACAACACTGTGCCGCCCTCAAGGAGAACTCTAACTATTAACGGTCCCTCATTCAGCAAGCAGCCCGTGAAGATCCAGGGTTAGAATTGGTCTTCAGCAACCAATGCTTGTTGTAAAAGACGACTAACGGGATCGGGTGGTCAGACTCGCTGACTTTGTTGACACATGTCATCATATCCCTTCGATGCACATGATGTTGATCACTGGATTGTGTGGTCCAGACTTATTTACAGACTGTCTCCACATAGCTGGAATATTGCTGAGTTAAAAACAACAACAGCCGAACCAACAAAACAAACAAAAATGTTCAGCACTTTTAACAAACACTTTTAACCTCATGTGATGATGTACGAAGAACAATGTTACATCACTAACCACCCTGAAGAAGAGCGTTGTACCAGAATAGTTCACCTTAAAATTCATTGAAAAGTTTTTGTAGATTTAATTTTCAATTCTTATTCAAATACACAATGCCATTTTAGAAAGTGGGCAAATGTAACGTATGTTATATTTGGGATTACACTTTCTTAGTAAAGTACAGATTCTGTACTGGAAAAAGTAAAAGTACTAGAATCTGTACTTTACTAAGAAAGTGTAATCCCAAATATAACATACGTTGCATTTGACCACTTTCTAAAATGGCATTGTGTATTTCATAGCTTTCGGCCGTGGGAGCCGTGCCAAATAACACTTATCAGAGGGGTACACAAAGTCCGCAGTCTAGACTACCAGTTGTCCGACTTCCATTTTTGTGGAAGCCGCGGTGGCTGAGCGGTCTAGGCGTCTGACTTTGTGTGCTGGCGATTAGGTGCCAGACTCTGAGGGTGTGGGTTCGAATCCCGGATGGGACTCAACCCAAAAAGTACTAGAATCTGTACTTTACTAAGAAAGTGTAATCCCAAATATAACATACGTTAAATTCTTATTCAGATATCCCACAACACTGACATCCTCATCGGCATCCACGGCGCGGGGCTGACACACATGCTGTTTCTACCGGACTGGGCGGTGGTGTTTGAAATGTAAGTGGTTCAGATTTACAGAAGGATAATAACTGTTGTAACAAATCGTCATAACTCTCCTCTTTAAGTGACCTGTGAAGATCCGGGTTAGAAGTGGTCGTCAGCAAGCCATGCTTGTCATAAGAAGCGATTAACGAGATCGGATGTCGGGCTCTTGACATGATTGACACATGTCATTGTATCCCAGTTGTGTAGATCGATGCTCATGCTGTTGATCACTGGATCACTCGATTGTCAAATAAAGTGCAATAGCAACATAGCTACGGGCATATATACTTTGCAGAGAAAAATATTGCGCGTAAATGTAGGAAGGTCAATTCACACCATTCCAATGGTGGGGGCGGTATGGTAACCTAGTGGTTAAAGCGTTCCCCCCGCCGTGATGTTACTGGAATATTGCTAAAAGCGGCGTAAAACCAAACTCAGTCAGTCAGTCAGTTAAAGCGTTCACTCGTCACGCCGAAGACCCGGGTTCGATTTCCCACATGGGTACAATGTGTTAAGCCCAGTTCTGGTGTCACACGCCATGATATGGCTGGAATATTGCTGAATACTAAACTCACTCACTCGGTGGTTGAGCGTACTCGCAGATAGGAACCAGTCCTGATGAAAGGTGGAACCGGTCAAATCACTGCATTGGGCGCGATGTAATCTCTAGATGAAGAAATAGGTTGCTTCATCATTGGTAGACACATCAGTTAAAGAGGTCTGTGAAGTCATTGAACATCACAAGATTCTTCTGTATCGCCAGGGCTCACATTTCGGTACATCTTCACTAAGCCCTGGATTCACTGCGTATTATTTCATTTCTATAAATTAAGCCTCGGTTTCGAATGGTTGATCGGTGGCTACTTTTAACATATCACACAGATATCCTTATTTTCAGTTACAATTGCGAGGATCCTTCTTGCTACCTCAATCTTGCCCGCCTCCGAGGGATTAAATATATGACCTGGGAAAACGTTGACAAGCTAAAGACCATCAAAGTGGTGAGTTGATTCGGGTTAGCTCCGATGGGGTCTCTAGGTTTAAAAGTTTGTACTGTGCACGTTCGTTTGACTTTATTGGTGAACCATTTACCTACACTATTTATGGTGTCCAGAAACATCATGTTGAGTGGGGTGTTAGACAACAACCCAACCAACCTACTTCTAATAGCAATTCTAAAAAAACAGGAAAGAATATGGCTGAAATACTGATGACACCTGACATTATTTGAACCCGCTATTGTTGGTTATGGGCACACGTGGCGAATTGCGGTCCCTTAGCCCTTCGACGGGGTATCCGCTACTTAGCTCATGCAGAATCAAGAGGTCGCTGGTCACTGGTCACATCGAAGACCTGGGTTCGATTCCCGACATGGGTACAATGTGTGAAGCCTGTTGCTGGTGTCCCCTGCTGTAATATTGCTGGAATATTGCTAAAAGCCGCGTAAAACTAAACTCACTCACTCTCACAGCAGCCTATACTATTCTAAAAAACACAAGAAGGGAAAAACAGTTCGGGGCAAAAACACACATCGAGTAATAGAATTATTGTCAAAATGTGTAGTTTTGTTTGGAAAGAGGTAATTTTCAGGGTCCTGTTTGATCGTTTTGCTTTCAGTTATACTGGAGGGCTAAGAAACAAACATCAAAGGCAGCTATACATTGTTATGGAGCATATTTATTCAACCATAAATAATATATCCATGCAATACTCCTATGTCACCTTATTTGTCATCATGAGTATATACTCACCGATGTTTCTGTTCTGTCACAGGACGACGCCTACAAAGGAGGTGCCGAGGCCAAGTTTGTCGACTACGAGTTTGACTCACATGAAACTCTTCGACTTGTTCGAAGGGCAGCAGATCACGTGACTTTCCATCATGCATTCATCAAAGCAGGGAAACAGAACTCTAAACATATTCACAAAGAGGAATTATGATTGTAGACACATCATTACATTAACAGAATATATTTGCTTTTGTAAAATAATATTCAACGAATTCAGTAGTCGGTAATCGTGTTTTTTATTTCAAACCTAACGTGAAACTGTTCTTGGAACGATTTTCAAAGGCGCATTGGGTCAGGAATCCATGTTGGACGTATTTTCGTTCACGTGACTATTAAATGGCACAACACAACCTTTGACCGCCCAAACTGTTTCTGTGTGTCTCTCTTCAAATCATCGCCTCCGTGGTGTAGTGGTTAGAGCGTCCGCTCGGAGAGCGGAAGGTCGCGGGTTCGATCCCCGACCGCGTCATACCAAAAGACATTAAAATATGGTACTTGTTGGTCCCTGCCTGGCGCTCGGCATTAATGGGAACAACAAGGACTGGTCGGCTCGGAGTCAGTATAATGTGTCATGCTTCACTGCGGCGTGGTATCTCAGTGGGCTAGCACTATAAAACCAGCTTAAGTCTGGGCTAGTACAAGCAGCCACACATACACATACACACGCATGCACGTCGTCATATGAGCGAAATATTCTCATGCACGACGTAAAACCCAATTTCACCTCACCTCACCTGTGTGTATCTCTCTTCAAATCAACTCTCTGGCGGTGGGTTAGCCTAGCCGTTAAAGCGTTCGCTTGTCGCGCTGAAGACCCAGGTTCGATTCGCCACATGGGTATAATGTGTGAGGCCCCTTTCTGGTGTCTCTGGCCGTGATATTGCTGGTATATTGCTAAAAGCGGCGTAAAACTAAACTCACTCAAATCACCTCTGAGGCCTACTACTTATCAAGCACAACACAATATGTCATAAAACATCACTGGTACGCCAGGTTACATGAACATATGCTGTGCATCTGGCGTTACACACAGTTTGTAGTGAATTCATGGAAGCTGAAACCCATCTCGAACCCAGCGAAATCGTGTTATAACTTCGAGATATCCGGATATTCGAGAAGACGAGGCATTGACATCCAGAGAGCTCTTGTGACAGATCAACTGCAATGCAAATCGCATGAACAAACAATTTAGTACATAACACGTGTATGCGATGACAAACTGCAATATGTTTCACCAGCATCTGACCATGTGTTGAGTGTACACTACATGGAGGACTTTCCAAATGAAAACAGCTAAGTGAGGCCATGTGTTCTTGACAGTTTTTGGTTTTTTAAACACACATTCAATCAATATTATTTTCAATAAAACAATTTACGAAACATGATTATTTATTGTTTTTACGACATATATGAGACATTAAACAGTGTTTGTTTGCTCTTAAACTGACACGTGCTCTTTCAGCGCCCGCTGCTGTGCAAGACATTATATTTGGATAGCAGCTATCTGGCTAGCGAAGTGGGCAACTGGTATAAATGAATGAGTTGTGTTTTGATCCATCTTTAAAGTATTTTAGTTATGACCTCTCGATGTTGGAGGGAAGCCAGGGGTGATGTAGGTCTTACCACGAAAAGAGGTGGATAGTGCAGCGGCTAAGGTGTTCGTCACGCCTAAGACTGGTTCGAGTCCCCAGCTGGGTTAAATATGTTAAGCCCATTTCTGGTGTCCTCTCGCCTAAGTGAGTGTGAGTGAGTGAGTTTAGTTTTACGCCGTGTTTAGCAATATCATGGCGGGGGACACCAGAAATGGGCTTCACACATTGAACCCATGTGTAGAATTTCCCCTCTCCGATGACTCTGGTTCGCTTCTCCAGTAGGGTTAAATATGTTAAGCCCATTGCTGATGTGCCCTCGCCTACGACTCTGGGCCCCGTTCCTCAAAGCGATCGTACCGCTAAGGTGATCGTAACTCCCATACTTTAACATAGACTTACGACTGTCGTAGCGCTACGATCGCTTTGAGGAACGGGGCCCTGGTTCGATTACACAATTGGGTTAAATATACTCATGGAAACAAATAAGGGAACACATGAAAGTACAAGTGTTCCTTTATTTATTTCCAGAATTTCACCCACAGTGCAATACATACCTTGTGAAGAAACCCGGAAAAGAATAAAGGAACACTTGTACTTTCATGTGTTCCATATTCGTTTCCATGAGTATATTTCAACCTGGGAATCGACACGTACTCCATTAAAGTTTCAGAGGGCTGCTGCTGAACAGCATCAGTGAAGTATTTACAAACCACTGGCACATTAGGGATCTCTAAGCATACGTCAAAGTAAAACACTTGTCAAACAATAATTTATTATTATTTATTATATAATATTTGTATAGTGCTAATATCCAGCTGAGCTCAGTTGCTCAAAGGCGCTTTGTCTTTCCCTCGATCATTGGATATCAATCTCAACGGCATATCGTATTTTTCAATCTCAACTCCCTGGGGATCCTACAACTCTTGCAGCCATTTATTAGTTCCATAAGTACAATGTATATGTAAAACCCATTTCTGGTGTCCCCTCACCTAAGACTTTGGTTCGATTACCCAGTTGGGTTAAATATGGTAAGCCCATTTCCGGTTGTCCCCTCACCGTGAGATTGCTGGACTATTACTGATAAGTGGGGGCGCGGTGGGCGAGCTGTCTAAGGCGCCAGGCTAGTAATCCAGCGATCTTGGAGGTGCCGGGATCGAGCCCACCTGTGACCGGGTATAAAAAACCTTGGAGTCAACTTTGTGTGCAGACTCTTTCAGTGTTGTCACAAAACCTAGTGTACAGTACACAACACTGTGCACTTAAAAGAACCCACGAATCCGTTGGTAGATGACCAGATTTGGCCACATGAATACGTGCAAACACCCAGTTGCTGGTACAGCAACGTTCAGTGAACCTGGACAAAGTACTGTGACTATGTGTCCAAGTCCACCCAGCGGTGAATGGGTACCTCGTAAGGATGGAAAAGCCACATTAACTCGGTACGCCTAGTAGGCAGGAAGAGTTGTATGATCCCCAGGGAGTTGGGATTGAAAAATACGATATGCCGTTGTGATGGATATTCAATGATCGAGGAAAAACAAAGCGCCTTTGAGCAGTTATACTGGATATCGGCGCTATACAAATGTTTGTATGTATGTATAGGTGTACAACTATACTCACTCACTCTTACGAGCACAGGTATGGTGGTAATAAATACAGACATTAGGATGCCTGGCCTGGCACTCGAAATTATTGAGACAAAACAGGACTGGTCGTATAGCACTATATAATCGGACCGACAGACGCACTCATACGCACGCACGCACACGCGCACGCACATACCCCACGGCGTTAAGTCATAACTAAATCAATAAACTATAACTAAGGAACTTTAACGCTGACGTCACTTGGAAGTTCTTATTCAAGATCCCATTGATCCCTCCTCAAGATCGGGGTGAAATGGGTACAGACAATATGACGAAATTAAGTTCACATGTGCTCATCTTGGTCAGCCATCTTTTGCTCTACCTTGGTCAACGCGGGTTCACTTAGGCCGTCCAGCGTATTTAAATTCGGTACAATATAATGCAGGTAATGAGACACTTTTTTATAAGGCAATCTTTGCGTCGTACCATTGGTTTGTTTATGTGTTTGTTTGTTTGCTGGCATAGTTATATGCTGGCAGTCTGTAAATACTCGAGTCTGGACCAGACAATCCAGTGACTCATTTGGGATTTAGGAGATAAAACGTACAGTGTTTGAACATTAGATGAACGTAAGCCGAACTAATAGTCTCTAAATTTCATTTGAAACCGAACGCGTAGCCACGTCTCCTTTGTTGATATCAGCCATGTTGGTGGTCAAGCGGGAGTAGTGCAGCAGTGTTTTATACATGCGCAGTGAAGCGCTCATAAAATGATGCATTTTTCAAACGAAATTGATAGTGTCTAATTTATTGATTGTCCAATCAAATTCTAGTATTTCACGAATTCATGGTAGAATTGATTCTTCAACCAAGCCAGCTGACCTGACTCCCGTTTGTTGCCTTTTACGACAAGCATGGGTGCTGACTTCCATTTCTGACCCGGATCTTGGGTGTGAAACCATTATTGTATTCTGTCTCAAAACGAATTATATTTACTAGCAGGGTAAATACAATAATTTGATGACATGTTGCTGGGTACAAGCTATGGTTTGTTGGTTGGTTTGCTGTTTAACGCCACACTCAGCAGTATGACAGCTATATGGCGGCGGTCTGTAAACCCAGTGATTAACAGCTAGGGGTGGGTATTGCAAGGAATTTTCATATTGCGATAAATTGCGATGCGAAAGCATGTATTGCGATATATTGCAAGAAGTTTTCTTTAACACAAAATACGTATAATTGAGTTAATGCTTGATTTATAAAGTAAAAACACAACAACATCACAATGCTTGATTAGGCGTTGATAAAAACTTTTAATCATGACAAAATACAAATGTAAATAATGTTTGGCACAAAGGAAATAAGGAAAGGAACAATTTAAAAAAAACGGAAATTTCCTAAGATATCCGAGTGTTATGAAGTTTTCCGAATGCATGTCAAAATACCGGTTTTCGATCAACGTATTGCAATACGTATCGTTTTCATGTCTGAACCGGTAAATACCGGTAAACCGGTTATATTGCGCAGCCCTATTAACAGCATGAGCATCATCTACGCAATCGAGATACGATGACATACAAGCTATGAAGGTAAATGTGAAATTCGTGTTGGAACCACGGGAACTCACGGTTCATCATCAGTTACATGTCACTGGACCGGAAAGACAGACACGATGTGTGGCTGGTTAGTACCGGATGTAACGTTGAAGTTATGGAGTTCCAGCATCACTACAAGTGTTTCAGATAAACGAGTGAGTGAATGAGTTAGTGTAGTTTCACGCCGCGTCAGCAATATTCAAGCTAAATGGCGGCGGTCTGGAAATAATCGAGTCTGGGCCAGACAATCCAGGGATCAACAGCATGAACATCGATCTACGCAATTTGGATACGATGACATATGTCAACCAAGCCAGCGAGCCTGACCACCCGATCCCGTTAGTCGCCTCTTACGACAAGCATGAGGTACTGAAGATCAGTTCTAACCCGGACCTTCACGGGTCTGCAAATAACGGGACAAACTGGCAGCATACACACTGACATGAAGAACCTGTGCACAACACGACCGAGGACAAGACCTCGAGTAGTTCTACCGTACAGCTCGTTTACTAACAGGCCGCCTCCGTGGTGTAGTGGTTAGAGCGGAAGGTCGCGAGTTCGGTCCCCGACCGCGT